TATTAGGGGTTGGAATACTTATTGATGATTAATATATCGTTTCAGTCCTTTATTCTATCTAATATTTTAATATCAATTGAAAATAATAATTAACAGGTTACTAATATATGACCAAGATTAGAGTAGAGTAATTTAATGTTATAGTTTAGATTATTTCTAGGATTAAGTTTATTTTCATTTGAAATGTTATCTTTTTTATTAATTGTATCATTTCTTTCTTATATACTAAAAAATCCAAATTTTACTAAACTATTTGTTATCATTTTTAAGACTTAACCTATTTTTCTTATTAAACAAATGCTTAAATGAATCATTTGATTTGCAATCAACTTTGTTAAAATAAAAATTTAAGAATTTTGAATAGCAGAACATTATTGCAGATTGTTATAAAGAATTTTTAACTTCCGTGAAAGTATACGATCCAAATTAAGTAATCAGAATTGAGTAAGGCTTAATCTCTTTTTTGGTTTAAAATTTCTTAGTTCATCAAATTCTCTTGTGGAATCTCATACTTATTCAAAATCTTGCCAATTACAAAACTCTCTAAAATTCTCTGTCTCTATGGAATGACTCTCAAATAAAGAAAATTCTTCTACTAAATTGAGATTCTCTTTATTTGCATTTTTAATATTTGACTCTATACGACACCAAATATTTTTTAAAACTGCGTTCAAAACCTAAATGTTAATCAAGTATTATAAAATTTGTCTTTCTAAACAGCTGCAGAAATTCTTAATTGCGCAATAACAAGATCAAAGTTATAGTGTAATAACACAAGAAGTGATTAATTAAGTAAATCACTTTTTTTGTAAATATATACTGACAATGTTTTATTAAATCATTTAATATATGAATATGATAATGCTTCATAACTCTGATAGTTACCTTTTTATATAAGCATTCTGACCCAAACCCATTTCCTATGCAGCAAAATAAAAGTATTTAGCTTCTGAAGTAATTCAATAATATCAAGGAATTGCTCTTAACTAAATAATGAATAAGCTGAAATTAAAGATTAATTTACCTTTATATCCTAATCGATGAGCAGTAGGATTTATTTTAAGTGCTTGATCAAAAATTGTGAGTGCATCCATGTTTTTCTATTATTTTTGTAGGATTAAACCTAAATAAAAATTATCATTACCTTTATCTACAAAAGCCCCATCAAATTTAGGGTTAATAGATGTTGCTCTATCATAACATGCTATTGCTTGTTCATATTGATTTAAATCGTATAAAACCATATAGAACAAAATGAATTGATGATGCTTGACCTTTAAGAATAATATTTATAAATTAGTTACCCTTATTCTTCCAAAAAGTATCAGATTTAGGATTAATAGTTATTGCTTCATTGTAACATTCAACTGCATCTTCATATTGTTTTAAACTTCTTAATGCATTCCCTATAAATTAATATTTAAGAATTAGTTACCCTTATTATTCCAACACTAATCTGATTTAGGGTTAATAGCTATTGCTTCGTTGTAATATTCAATTGCTTCTTGATATTATTTTAATTTCTTAATGCATTCCCTATAAATTAATATTTAAGAATTAGTCACCCTCATTATTCCAACACTAATCTGATTTAGGGTTAATGGCTATTGTAACATTCAATTGCTTCCAAAAATTATTTCAATTCATCTAATACATCACCTATTTATTAATATTTAACAGTTAGTTACCCTTATTCTTCCAAAAAGTATCAGATTTAGGTTAACAGATATTGCTTCATTGTAACATTCAATTGCTTCTTAATATTAATTCAATTTTTCTGTAATGCAATTCCTAATTATCATAATCGAACAAAGTATTTACCTTTCCAATTCCATGCATCAGCAAATTTAGGGTTAATAGAAATGGCTTACTTGAAACACTCAATTGCTTCATTAAATTGATACAAACTGCCTAAAGCACATTCTAATTTTTAATATTGAACATTAAATTACCTTTGCCACTCCATGCAGTTTCAGATTTAGGATTAATATAAATAGCTTCGGTGTAACAATTAATTGCATCTTGATATTGCTCCAATTTAGTTAATGCATTACCTAATATTTTACAATTAACATAAATTACCCTTGCTAATCAAAGCTAAATCATATTTAGGATTAATAGAAGTGCCTTCGTTAAAACATTAAATTGCTTCTTGAAATTGATTTATATCGGCTAATGCAGATCCTAAATAAGAAAGATAACAATTTATTACCCTTATCATACCACACTTTTTCTTCTTTATGATTAATAGAAATTGGTTAAATCATAAAAATAATATTTATAATTAATTAAACATTTTTCTTTAATCAATCTTAATTAAAATAAATTTAATATAATGCACTATTACCCACTATTTACTAAATTAATAAAATTTTAATGAAAATTTCTTTAAAATACTAAATTGAATTAAACTTAAGAATAAAATTTCTAAAATTTAAAATAATTTCAAATCGCTATTAAGAATTTTTGAGATACTATTTTAAATTAT